ACAGGGAAGGAAGAAAACATCAACATGGATGTCAGAAGAGACTCCTAAAACTTGCCCTTGAACAGAGAGTAGCTAAAGCAAATGGAAGAAATTTCAAGATAAAAGAGGTGAACAGAAGATTTCAAAGAGTGGCTTGAGAAGACAAAGTCCAGTATTGAATGAAATGTGCAAACACCCAGATTTAGTAAACCAAAATGGAAGACATGCTAGGCAGTTCTCAAGCTGAAAGAACTGAAGAAAAATTTTAAGCCTGGAGTTGCAATACTGTAAGATTCTATGGGCAAAATATTGAATGAAGCAGGAAAGATGGAAAGAATACACAGAGTCATTGTACCAAAAAGAATTAGTTGATGTTCATCCATTTCAGGAGGGGCATATGATCAAGAACTAATGGTACTGAAGGAAGAAGTCAAAGCTGCACTGAAGGAAGTGGTGAAAAACAAGGCTCCAGGAATTGACGGAATACCCATTGAGATGTTTCAACAAATGGATGTCCTGCCGCAGGCACTCATTTGGCTATGCCAGGAGATTTAGAAGACAGCTACCTGGCCAACTGAAAGGAAGAGATCTGTATTTGTACTCATTCCAAAGAAAGGTGATCCCGCAGAATGTGGAAATTATTGAACAATATCATGAATATCACATGCAAGTAAAATCTTACTGAAGATAATTCAAAAGTGGTTGCAGCAGTATATAAACAGAGAACTTTCAGAAATGCAAGTTGGACTCAGAAGAAGATGTGGAACAAGGGATATCATTGCTGATGTCAGATGGATCTTGGCTCAAAGCAAAGAATACCCAGAAACATGTTTACTTGTGTTTTACTGACTACACAAAATAATTCAATCATACGGAGCATAACAAATTATGGATAACATTGAGAAGAATGGGAATTCTAGAACAATTAACTAATTGTACTCATGAGGATCCTAGACATAGGCTAGGAGGCTAATGTTTGAACAGAACAAGGGCATACTGCATGGTTTAACAACAACAACAGAAGGTTGTATATTTTTTGCTGTATTGTTGTAAGGTGCCGTCAAGTTGTCTCTGACTTATAGCATCCCTATGAAACACTGCTCGGTCCTGTACCAGCTTCACAATCCTTGCTATACCTGAGCCCATCGTTACAGCCACTGTGTCAATCCATCTTGCTGATGGTCTTCCCCTCTTTCGTTGAACTTCCACTTTACCAAGCATGATATCCTACTCCAGGGAATGATCCCCTCCTACAACATGACCAAAGTAGGTGAGATGAAGTATGGTAACTCTCGCTTCCAAGAAGCATTCTGGCTGCACTTGTTCCAGAACAGATTTGTTAGTTCTTTTAGCAGTCCATGGTACTTTCAGCATTCTTTGCCAGCACCACAACTTAAAAGCATTGACTCTTCTTTATTCTTCCTTATTCATTGTCCAGCTATCACATGCATATGAGGCGATTGAAAATACTATGGCTTGTGTCAGGTGCACCTTAGTCCTCAAGGAGCCATCTTTGTTCTTCAGCATTTGAAAGAGGTCTTTTGGAGCTGATCTGCCTAGTGCTATCTATATGTCATCTGATACCTGGACTGCTGCTTCTACTGGTGTTGATTGTAGAACCAAGTAATATGAAGTCTTTGAAAACTTCAATGTTTTCTCCATCTACTGCGATGCTACTTATTGGTCCAGTTGTGATTATTTTTGTTTTCTTTATATTGAGATGTAATCCATACTGCAGACTATAGTCTTCAATCTTAATCATTAAGTGTTTTAAGTCATCCTCACTTTCAGCAAACAAAGTTGTGTCATCTGTGTATCACAGATTGTTAATGATTCTTCCTCCAATCCTGATGCCACGTTCTTCTTCATATAGTCCAGCTTCTCGGATTATTTGCTCAGCATATAGATTGAATAAGTATGGGGAAAGGATACAACCCTGACGCACTCCCTTCTTGATTTTTAACCATGCACTATCCCCTTGCTCTGTTCGAATGACAGCCTCCTGGTGTATGTACAGGTTCCTCATGAGTGCAATTAAGTATTCTGGAATTCCCATTCTCAATGTTATCCATAATTTGTTATGATCCACACAATCGAATGCTTTTAAGTAGTCAAAAAACACAAGTAAATATCTTTCTGGTATTTTTTGCTTTGAGCCAAGATCCATCTCACATTAGCAATGATCTCTCATTTCACATCCTCTTCTGAATCCAGCTTGCATTTCTGGAAGTTCTCTGTCTATATACTGGTGCAACTGTTTTTCAATTATGTTCAGTAAGATTTTACTTCCATGTGATATTAAGGATATTGTTCGATACTTTCCACAATCTGTGGGATCACCTTTGTTTGGAATGGGTACAAATATGGATCTCTTCCTGTCATTTGGTCAGGTAGTTTCTTTCAAATCTCCTGGCATACCCAAGTGAGTGCCTCCAGTGGGGCATCTGTTTACTGAAACATCTCAATGGGTATTTCGTCAATTCCTGGAGCCTTGTTTTTTTTACAACTTCCTTCAGTGCAGCTTCGCCTTCTTCCTTCAGTACCATTGGTTCTTGATCATACTCCACCTTCTGAAATGGATGAACATCAACTAATTCTTTTTGGTACAATGACTCTGTGTATTCCTTCCATCTTCTTTCCTGCTTCATTCAATATTTTGCCCATAGAATCTTTCAGTATTGCAACTCCAGGCTTCAATTTTTAATTCAGTTCTTTCAGCTTGAGAACTGCCTAGCATGTCTTCCCTTTTGGTTTACTAAATCCAGGTCTTTGCACATTTCATTCAATACTGGACTTTGTCTTCTCAAGCCACTCTTTAAAATCTTCTGTTCACCTCCTTTATCTCGTCATTTCTTACCTGCTTTAGCTACTCTCTGTTCAAGGGCAAGTTTCAGAGTCTCTTCTAACATCCATTTTGATCTTTTCTTCCTTCTCTGTCTTTTAAATGACCTTTTGCTTTCATCATGGATGATGTTCTTGATGTACCCTCAAATCCTCTCATTTTCAATCACTGATGTCCAATGCACTAAATCTATTTTTCCGATGGTTTCTAAATTCAGGAGGGATATATTCAAGGTCATATTTTGGTTCTCAGGGACTTGTTTTAATTGTTTTCAACTTCAAATTGAACTTGCATGTAAGCATTCGATGGTCTGTTCCACAATCAGCTCATGTCCTGGTTTTGGCTGAAAACGCTGGGCATTTCCATTGCCTCTTGACATAGATGTAGTCGATCTGATTCCTATACACTCCATCTGGCAAAGTCTACTTGTATAGTCACCGTTTGTGTTGCTGAAAGACAGCATTTGCAATGAGTAAGTCATTGGTCTTGCAAAATTCTACTATGTGATCTCCAGCATTATTTCTATCACCGTGGCCATATTTTCCACTACTGGTGATTCTTCTTTATTTTCAACTTTTGCATTCCAATCATCAGTAACATTTAACACATCTCTATTGCATGTTTGGTCAATTTTAGACTGCAGAAGTTGGTAAAAATCTTCTATTTCCTCATCTTTGGCTTTGGTGGTTGGTGCATAGACTTGAATAATAATAGTAGTATTAACTGGCTTTCCCTGTAGGTGTACAAAATTGTCCTGTGACTAACAACATTGTACTTCAGGGTAGATCTTGAAATATTCTTTGTGATGATGAATGCTACTCCACTCCTCTTCAATTTGTCATTCCCAACCTAGTAGATCACATGATTATCTGATTCAGAATGGCCAAAACCAGTCCGTCTCAGCCCAGGATATCAATCTTCATGTGTTCCATTTCATTTTTCACTACTTCCAATTTTCCTAGATTCATACTTTGTACATTCCAGGTTCCAATTATTAATGGATGTTTGCAGCTGTTTCTCCTCAGTTTCAGTTGTGCCACGTCAGCAAACGGAGGTCCGTAAAGCTTTACTCTATCCATATCATTAAGGTTGGCTCTACTCTGATGAGGCAGCTCTTTCCCAGTCATATTTTGAGTGCCTTACAACCTGAGGGGCTCATCTTCCAGCACTGTATTGGACAATGTTTTAGGGCTATTCATAAAGTTGTCCAGTAAAGTATAAGACAGTGTTTATCTGCTATTCATAAGATTTTCCCTGGCTTATTCTTTGAGAAATAGAAGGCCTCTTCCTTCTTCTGAGTCTATATTAGTCTGGAAGCTCTCCTGAAACCTGTCTAACATGGGCAACCCTGTTGGCATTTGAAACACCAGTGGTACAGCCTCTAACTTCACAGCAACATGCAAACCACCGCTGTAGGACAAACTGACAGACAAGTTCGTTTCTCTTAGATGTTGCAAATCTAGTTATACAAGATTTAATAAATCTTAATGATAGTATCACAATCTGTGAAGGAAGAATGGTATAGTCATCAAATGATGCTGTCACTTTGATTAGCTACTTGGCTATACATATATACATACCAAAATGGAAAAACCAAAACCATAGCCGTGGAGTCAATTATGACTCATAGGAGCCCTATAGGATAGGGTAGAACTGCCCCATAGGGTTTTCAAAGCTGTAATATTTACAGAAGTACACTGCCATATCTTCCTCCAGTGAAGCAGCTGGTCAGTTGACCTTTCAGTTAGTAGCCAAGCGCTTAATCAGTGTGCCATCAGGTGTGCTTTTAAATATGTTGTTGTTGTTGTTGTTGTTTGCTGTCGAGTCAGCCCCGACTCATAGCGACCCCTCCTTGGCTTTCCGAGGCAGTATCACTACGGAAGTAGGACTGCCCAACCTTCCTTCCGAGGAGTGGCTGGTGGGTTTGAACCGCCAGACTTCTGGTGAGCAGTCAAGCGCCTTTGCCACTATGCTACCAGAGCTCCCATGTACATACATAAATTAAGTTCTCATCTCAAACTAAATCCCAAAATAACCTCCATATAGATTACTTTGAAATATGAGAGGAAAATAGAGGGGGGGAAAAAAAGAACACCAAATTATCATGCTGATATATTACCTAATAAGACATATAAGAACATTAATATAACCAGGATTAAGAAGATGTGGTAAATCTTACATGTTCTTCCCACACTTTCTTTTCTCTCTCATATGCTTCCTTTCTCTTTCGCTCTAGTTGTTCTTTCAGGACAGCAGCACGTGCATTTGCTTGGGACTAAAAATTTGTAAAAAATCAACAAAATTAGTTCTCAGGGAGATGGCTTTAGGATTTTTTCAGGCCTACAAAAATAATACTTACTTTCTAACCAAAAAAGAAGTGGGGTGGGGTGAGGTGGGGGAAGGCAGATGTTTCTAGAATAAGAATGTAAGTTCACTCTCATAGCAGGTACTCAATAAATACTTGTGGAATTAAATCAAATACAGGTATATTCTAATGGAAAATTTAGAATAATAATTATGATACATGGCCTTCATTTTATTTTTTTTTACAAAGTGGACACATACATATTTCATCTACTTTTTTTTTTCTTAAGGTTACATATGTGATAGTTGCATGTATTTATGTTGTGGTTTCTTCTAATTGCTACTCCTAAATATGTGATATAAAAAGAAAAATGCTGTTTTTCAGTAACCAAAAAGTGAGACATAGAGGCAAAGAAAAATTAGGGTAAGAGAATAAAGTGACTTAACTATGTAAAAACATAAATCTATATCTCAAGTTTCAATTTTATCTAAATCAAAATAAAACAATAATATCATCTGTAGTCTATACCTTAAATGTTTCAATCTTTTTGCGCCTCATGTCAGCCTCTTCACTCCTTTCTTGTCCTTTCAAACTATCAGCTTCTTTCTACAAAATAAGTAGATAAGCAAACCATTCAGATAGGATTACCACATCTAGTACAGAACTCTATGGAGGATATATGAATAAACTGACATGTAAAAATACAAAAGGTGAAAGCATTCAATGTTGTTAATTTTCTCCCACAGCTACAAATGTACTCTCTACAACTATGAAGCCTAAGGGACAATGGGACAAAAAAGACAATGGTATAAAACACACTTTAATTCTTCCATGGGTACTATTTCCAATCATAAGCAAGAGTAAATGTTCTTATTAATTGTAAATAATAAAAGATTTTAAATGCATTATAGTTTTCTGCTCTCTCACTGCCTCATCATTTTTTATTTTGTGTTAGTACACAAACATGCTTAATCTTAATATATTATGTCATCCAAGTACTTTTTTAAAAATTGATTTTCAACCTGCCTTTTCACCACGAAGTTTGGCTCTAATCTGTTGGCGCTCATTGAAATTCTGTAGTCTTATTTGTCTCAGCCTTGCCAAATAAACCTGCAAGGAGAAAACAACAACAACAACTTAATAGAAAAATTATCAACATTTCTACTTGTAAGTTTTTTTTTTTTTAAATTTAAAGAAAAGTGTTAATCTGAAAACAAGAAACAAAAACGTTGACATCTGGTTAATGAAAAATGTTATATTAGCTTTCAAGTGTTTAATTTAGATCAACTTATTTTTTTAAAAGAAATATATCATACTTTTAAAATTTTATCAAAGGAAAATAAATTCAACTGAGAAAACTGAATAGTAGTTATGGGGCAAAATTATGATACAGTGTGTCAGTCAAAATATATTAACAGGTCCCTATAGACCTACAAAATCCTCAAATAATTGTTAAGAATTTAAACCATGCAAGAAAAGAAGGCAATAAACTCAAAAATGACTGTGACGGAGGTAGAGAACATGCAGGAAGCATACCTCTTCCTCTTTGTTTCTTGGCTTCCCTCCTCTTGAAGAGCTGGACCTGCCTCCATACATAGCTGCCAGGTTTTGCAGGATTCCCTGTTTATCATTTAATGTACTAAGTTTAAGAATGACTAAGGCTATAGCATCATCTTATTTAGGAATATCCCGGTGCCACTTTATTTCTTTTGGCAAATACCGATCATTTCTGGTACATAAACTCTGATTTAGGGGAAAAAAAAAACCTAGCATTTTTCTGCATCAATTTAACAAATACGTTCAGTGAGAACAGAAGGAATCAGCTAAACCCAAAAGATATTTATTTAAAACACAGACCAGCTATGTTTTTAATAGGCATTTAAGTAAACAAGTTTTGAAAATTGCTTTGGAGGTTAACTAACCCTCAAATCAAATTTTTTCTCTATATATGTGTATATGTATACACTATATGTATATACTTATACATATGCATAAGTGCCAATCCTCTTATACATATGTTTGTTTATACAGAAATATCTGAGCTCATTGCTTCAGATTTCTGAATGTGTTGCACATTAATGGTAATATCTAACTTAAACTCTTTGCACTCAGGCAAGTCCTGTTACTATACTACAAAGTATCATAGCCCATCACAAAACTGACTCATTTTTTAACAGTTTATCACAAACACATACCTACAGTTGATCCTTATTGTTTGCAGATTTTATATTTGCAATTTGCATAGTTGCTAAAATTTATTTGTAACCCTAACATCAATACTTGCACTGCTTTCATGGCTACTTGCAGATATGCAGAGCAGGAAAATATGTGAGTCACCAATGCACACGCTTCCAGCTAAGGATGAACAAGGTGATGATGTTTTGTCTTGTTTTGATTCTCATACTGTAAGCAATTGTCCTTTTCATGGTCTAGTTAATGTGATGTTTTCTTTTTCTTTTCCTTCTTGATGATTTCAGTATTTAAAATGGCCCCCAAGCATAGTACTGAAGTACTGTCCAGTGTTCTTAGCACAAGAAGGCTATAATATACTTTATATATAATATACCTTAAGGAGAAAATATGTGTGTTATATAAGTCTCCATCGGGCATGAGTGATAGAGCTATTTATTGGCCATAACTGAGTTCAATGTTAACGAATAAACAAATATTTAAACAAGGTGTCTTTAAACAGAAACACACACAAAATAAGGTTATGTACTGACTGCTAACCAGAAGACTGCTGGTTCAAACCCACCAGCCACTCCTCAGAAGGAAGGCTGGACAATCTACTTTCGTAGAAACCCAAGGAGGGATTATTTTGAGTCGGGTCCAACTCAATGGCACTACAACAACAACAACAGATTGGTTAATGAAATTTTGTGAATAGAAGCTTGAAGGAACCTAACCTTCCATTTCCCCTAAAAGCAGTGGTTCCATATTCACTAATTCAGTGTTTGTGGCAATTCTATAGAATTAACTAGAACAACCATCATGAATAATGATAATTGACTGTATCTCCTTATTTGAAATTATTAATATCCCTCAATAAATGTATCAGATTGTCAAATTATTTACTTTCTCTTTCTTCAGCACAAAAGCATGCTTCAAGACTGTCAAATTATCTACTTTCTTTTTCTTTAGCTTAAAAGCATGCTTCAAGTTCCTCTCAACTTAAAAAAAAAAAAAATCAATCTCACTCTTCTGCCATTGAGTTGGATCTGACTCCTAGCGACCCTTCCTTGGGTTTCCGAGGTGGTATCACTACAGAAGTAGATTGCCCAACCTTCCAAGGAGCGGCTGGTGGGTATCACTACAGAAGTAGATTGCCCAACCTTCCAAGGAGTGGCTGGTGGGTATCACTACAGAAGTAGATTGCCCAACCTTCCTTCCAAGGAGTGGCTGGTGGGTTTGAACTACCAGCTTCTGGTTAGGAGTCAAATACCTTAGGCGCTATGCCACCAGAGCTACTACCTATTTACAAGGTTGTTGAAAGTAGACATTTTATATTCATTTTCCTGCTTCCAGTTCATTTCTTTAATCTATTGGAAATTGGTTTCTGATTCTACCATGCCTCTGAAACTTTTCTCTCTCGAATCAACAATGTTCTCCTAACTCAAAATTCAAATGGAACCTTTTCAGCAATTTTAATTTCAAATGCAAACTAGTTTTGACTAAATCCACTTAATTTACATATACTTTTCTATCATAAGTGCACTGTAGAACACTTCCAAAGGAAATATATATCAATCATAATTCTGCCAACCAAAAAACTTAAGATTTAAGGGTATACCCTTCCAATTTCCTTCTATGCCTACATATGAACACGTTTATTTTTGCAAAATACTTTACTATGTTACTAGTGTTAGGTGTCATCCAGTTGGTTTCAGCCAACAGGGACCCTATGTACAACAAAAAGAAATACTGCTGGGTCCTGTGCCATCCTTACAATCAATGCTATATTTCAGTCCATTGTCACAGCTGTGTTACTCCATCTTGTTGAAGGTTTTCCTTATTTTCTGCTAACCCTCTACTTTACTTAGCATGATGTCTTCTCCAGGGACTGGTCCCATCGGAAAACATGTCCAAAATATATAAGACGATGTCTTATCATTCTCCTTTGCAAGCAGCATTGTGGCTGCAGTTCTTCAAAACAGACTTGCTCATTCTTTTGGTAGTCCATCAACATTATAATTTAAATGCATCAATTTTTCCTTGATTTTCCTTATTCTTTGTCCAGCTTTCGCATGCATATCAGGTGACTAAAAATACATTGGCTTGGGTCAGGAGCACCTTAGTTCTCAAAGTGACCTCTTTGCCCTTTAACATAACAAAGGTCTTATGCAGCAGATTTGCCCAGCGCAATTTGTTGCTTGATTTCTTGACTGATGCTTTCATGGGCATTAATTGTGTATCCAAATAAAATTAAATTCTTGACAACTTCAATCTTTTCACGATGTATCATGATTTGCTTCTTGTTCCAGTTGTGAGGATTTCTGTTTTCTGTATCTTGAGTTGTAACCCATAAGGAAGGCTGTTGTCTTTGATCTTTATAAGTAAGTGCTTCAAGTCCTTTTCCTTTTCAGTAAGCAAGGTTGGGTAATTTGCATATCACAGGTTGTTAATGAGTCTTTTTCCAATCATGATACCACATTTGTCTTCATACAACTCAGTTTCATATTATTTGCTAAACATACTAACTGAATAAATGTGGTAAAAGAATACAACCCTGACATAAAACTTTCCTAATTTTAAACCTTGCAGTACTCCTGTGTTCTGTTCAAACAACTGTATCCTGATCTATGTGCAAGTTCCACACGAGTACAATTAAACGTTTTGGAATTCCTATTCTTCACAATGTGATCCATAATTTGTTATGATGCACACAGCTGAATAATCGTGCACAGTCAAAACAAACACAGGTAAACATCTTTGACATTCTCTGCTTTCAGCCAAGATCCATCTGACATCAGCAATGACATCCCTCATTCCACTCAGCTTTTGAATCCAGCTCAAATTTCTGGCAGTTACCTGTTGATGTACTACTACACCATTTTTGTATTAACGTCAGCAAAACTCAATTTGCATGTGATATTAATGATACTGTTCAATAATTTCCACATTCTGTTGGATCACCTTTCTTTGGAATGGACACAAACATGGATCTCTTCCAGTTGATGGCCAGGTACTTTCTTCCAAATTTCTTAGCATAGCAAGTAAGGATTTCCAGCATTGCAAGTAAGGATTTCCAGCATTGTGTCCGTTTGTACACATTTTAACTGGTATATCAATGGCTAAAGCATTGCTATTTGCCAATACCGTCAGTGTAGCTTGGACTTCTTCCTTCAGTACCACTGATTCTCAATCATATGCTACCTCCTAAAATGGCTGAATGTCAACCAATTTTTATGGTACAGTGACTTTGTGTATTCTTTCCATCTTCTTTTGATGCTTCCTGTGTCATTCACTTTTTTTGTGCAGAGTATTCTTCAATATCTCAAGGTGAGACTTGAATTTTTTCTTCAAGTTCTTTGAGCTTGAGAAATGCCAAGTGTGTTCTTTCCTTTTGGTTTTCTAACTCCTAGTCTTTCCACATTTCATTATAATACACTACTCTGTTTTTCTAAGCCCTTTGAAATTTTCTGTTCAGCTTATTTATTTTATCATTTCTTCCATTTGCTTTAGCTACCCTATGTTCAAAAGCAAGTTTCAGAGTCTCTCTGACATCCATTTTGGTCTTTCTTTCCTGTCTTTTCAATGACCTTTTGCGTTCTTCATGGATGATGTCCTTGATGTCATTCCACAAGTCATCTGGTATTTGGTCATTAGTGTTCAATGCATCAAATCTATTCCTTGAAATAATCTCTAAATTCAGGTAGGATATACTCAAAGTCATACTTTGGCTCTTGTGGACTTAATTTTCTTCAGGTTCAATTTGAACTTTCATAGGAGCAATTGATGGTCTTGTCTGCAGTCAGTCCCTGACCCTGTTTAGACTGATAATATTGAGCTTCCCCATCATCATTTACCACAGATGTTGATTTGATTCCTATGTATTCTACCCAGAAGTCAATGTGTATAGTCACCGTTATGCTGTTGCAAAATGGTACTGGCAATGAATAAGCCATTGATCTTGCTTTGGGTCTATTTGACTCTTCTTTTTCTAGTTTCTCAGGTAAAAATCAAGAATTGTTGATTTGAGACTCTTCCTTTTTTCTAATGTAAGTATTTACTGCTATGAATTTCCCTTGCAGCACTTTCTTAGCCGTATCCCACAAATTTTAATATGCTGTTTATTTTCAAGCAGTTCTATGTTCCCCCCCCCCCCCCCCAGTTTAAGATTGTTCTCTTTGATTCATAGATTATTTAGAAGAATTTTTAAATTTCTTGTGTTTGGAGATTTTCAAGTTATCATTTGGTTACCAATTTTGAGCTTTATTCTATTATAGTCAGGGAACATACCCTATGTGATTTCAATTCCTCTAAATCTGTTAAGGTTTGTTTTATGACTCAGCATATATTCTATGTTGGTTAGTGCTCCTTGGATCCTTGTGAAAAAGTGTGCAGTTATGCGTGGCTTACTTTCTGCTTGGCCAATGTTTGACCGTATATATGTCTGTGGG